CGGGGGCGTATCAATGAGGCGGCGGGCATCATATCGGCAGACAAGGTGTGGGGGAAACTAAAAAATGGCGGAAAATTGGAAGCACTGACCGTTAGATCTATAGAACGAAGACACTTCCTTTTTTTCCGGACCCGTGTCCGAATAACATTTTTTCTTATTCGGACTCGAGTCCGAATATGAAATTTTTTTATTCGGACTCGAGTCTGAATAGGAAAAAATGTTATTCAGACTCGAGTCCGAATAATGACGGCCTTTAATATTTTACTGTTTGATTTGAAATTTTCTTGAAAACAATTGATTTGCGACAGCTTTAGTGGCTTTATTTTTTTCTCTACAGCAAACAGTACGGCAGTTTGACCCCAGTAGCAGTGCATCTGTGTGCGGGAGTGAAAGTAAAAATTTACAGAGATGGTAAATTTTTACTTTCACTCCCGCACACAGATGCACTGCTTTAGGGGTCAAACTGCCGTACTGTTTGCTGTAGATCACACATAAAGCCACCAAAACTGTCGCAAATCAATTATTTTCAAGAAAATGTCAATCAACCAAATTAAGAAAAGATATGGTTTTATATGCCTTTTATCATCTGTTGAGCCGTAAATGGTCATTTTTCAGTAGCAGGTATACATCTCGGGTATCTCAGCTGATCCCTCCCGCCAAACCCCCATGTTTACAACTGATTGGCCGTGGCGGCAGGGCATTTTTGGCAGGTTACTTCCGGCGAAATGCGAGCGCTTCTCGGGTTAACTGTGAAATATCATATTATGGGTTAAAACAGGGGTAAACCCCAAGATTTTCTTTTATCCCAGAGGGGCAGGACCCCCTGATTGGTCCAAAGCACGTCTATCTCGATTAAAAACAATCAGGTATTTCACAAAATATTAATGAAGTTTATATTATTCGTGTTCAACGCATTGGTATTTAGAAGATCTAGTAAAAAATGGACAAATGGTAGTTAAGTGTGAGACGGGAGGGAAAGTAAAAAAATACCATCAAGTGTTACGAACACATGAATAACCCCCTCTCATAAGCTCATAAGACATTATGAGTAGTTATCTCAATTTGAATAACCTTTTTAGACGCTCTTGTTGTTATGAATGATCTGGGTTTCGAGAGGGGAAATATAAGGTCAATTTCCAAATGTTTTGCTCTCAGATTGTTCTTTTTACGTTCACAATGGTACAGTGGAACTCGGATTCAACGAGCTCGGATTCAACGAGATGAGATAGATTCCCCGTTTTTTTTCTTCTTTAAAATCAATAAAAATAACCCGGATTCAACGAGCACTTAAATCAGCGAGCTCGGATTCAACGAGGTCGCTTCCAAGGTGAACAGCCTCCGCAGACGTGGCTTCGCTCATTTTTCTTCCAGAACGAACTTTATCTATTCCCTGAAACCATCCATTGCACCTGTATCGTGAACCATCATTTACTTAGCCGATTGCATGCTGCAAATCAGCGGCCTTTATTCATACCAACACATGCGTTGTTGACACGCGCACATGTCTACTCTGGCGTGTGTCGGGGTCGGATGGGCCTGCACACGTGTGGCTGTGTGTGTGGGGGGGGGGGCATATCGGGCATATAAACCCGGCCCCCGCTGGACGAGGGTTAAGAATGTGGATCCCGTTTGGAGATACTTGTTTTCACTCCACCGACGATTAGTTCTGGTTCTAAACAATTACTTTTTGATGCGCATGCCGATATGGAGAGATAGTACCAGAAACACGGCCTCGCTGGCACTCGCAGCCTTCCGAGCACGTGTTATCGGTGAAATCAGGGCAATTCGGATCGCTGTGTCTTTGCTCTTTCGCTATAAAACATCAAATGCTGTACACCTTGTAAAAGTTCAGCTTTTCCTCATTACATTGGTGTAAGTTGTGTATATATGTCCGATTATTAGGAGCTAGAGAATCGCTGAGGAAAACGAAGCCCCTGGCTGTCGGAATGCGTGGTCGGCCGGTTAAAAAATTGACACGCATGCATTCAAATGCTTCGCGGAAAGATTGATGATAAAATGCCGTCTTTTCATTAGCGGAGAATTGTAGAACTTTGAAAGGGCTTTCCCATGGAATATGTTTGGCATTTGGCGTTTAAATAGAAAGCCTTTAAAAACACTGTCAAAGTTTTCAAAGATCATTTTTTACCCGAAATAAAAAAAAATTACGCTCCATATTTATGTTGTAGTGATTGTATCCTTTAATGTGGAGATGTTTGGTGCACTTGGTTATCTTTTATTACCTGTCAAACATGGGGTTGCAGCCAGTTTAGTAAGCGACTTAAGCAATTTAATCAATTTTCTGAAAAATAGACTGAGGTTAAAGAATGGTACCAAAATGCTCAGGAGATATAGGCTTTTCATATGGAACAGATAAATTTGGCATACAGATGCTTTGAAAATTTAATTTCTGGTACCTATATAGGCCTACCCTATCAAACCTTATTAAAAACATCAAATTATTGTCAAATTCAGAGGGGCATTCCCCCCCAATGTTTTGTTTTTTTAAGGTCAAAACAAGTGAAATTTTTACTGTTGAAACATTTACTTAAAAGACTTTCCATGGCAAAAAATTACAACTACCACCTCTCTTGATTTTTCTTTAGAGATTAGCCATGTGCATGCTATTTTTAGGGAACTTTCGTGCGTCTCAATTTTAACGTTCATGACATTAAAATCAACAAAAACATGAAAATAACACAAGAAAACAACACCATCTTGTTTATGTCTCTTTAATGTCCATTTTGTACAAGTAACACCAAAAAAATCATGCAGAAGGTCTGTGGAAGTTTAAAGAGGCATTACAGTTTTGGATTGTGTTGGGCAGGGAGATTTGTGAAAGCTGCCATCTAATAAATAAAAATGTCTATTTACAGCTCAACGGATTATTAAAAAGACACATATTATATAAAACCATAAGCTGATATATAGAGCGGTTCAAAAATGAGTTATAAAGGTGACCAATTTTAATTACAAAAAAGGGCAAAACGGGACAAAGTCACCTAATGGCAAAGTAGCATAGTGGAACAAGTGGTAACGCACATAGCATGCGGTTGTTCAGTTTGACAGCATCACTTTATTGATTGATATCTGGGCCAAGGGACACACTGGGACTTCACCCTATTTATAACATTCTCAATTTCCCATATAACAATGCTTTAAATGTTCCGTATTTTTACAGAAATCTGAAAGTTCACATTATTGTGGCTGTCGTGTCTCCCCCCCCCCCCCATTAAAAAAAACTCAACTTTTTGTCGTCTGTTCAAGAAAATGGCAGTGACTAAAATCCCTTGAGCTCTTGTTATTGTTGTTGTAATTCTCTAAATTTGCACTAATTCATTTTTTGATTTAGGAGGAAGGAGAGACTCCAAAGAAAGAGGAGGCTCAAAATGCTGTTGAACAGTCTCCTCAGAAGGAAGCCAGTGAGCCACCTGATTCGTCAGATGATAATGCAGATTCTCCAGAAAAGAAAGAATCACCTTCCAAGGAACCGCCTGCAAAATCACCAAAGAAAGAAGTGAAGAAAGAGGAGGAAGATGATGAAGATGAAGAAAGTGATGAGGAAGATGAAGAACTGCCTCGTAAGTACTACAGTCGACTATGGCAGAGTTCATGTTGTTGGGATGAAAAAAAGGTCATGTGTATCCACAGTTCAATTTAACCGTTGGGACTTAGAAGTTAAAAGACATAACAAAATCTTTTTCGCTGCTCATTCATATTTAATTTCAGTACTGTAGTAATGGTTCAAAATGGCGCCAGCAGGAACAATATGTATTAGCAGTGCCAATCGGGCTTCCGCACACGGCAAAATTTTGGTCCCAGTTTGTGGATGAATTTTTGGATCGGGTTGGAACGTAAGAGACTAACTTTCTAAACTTTGGTCTGCTCTATTTCTGGACCAATGTGAATTAACTCTCTCACTGCCAGGCATTTCTCGGCAGGATAACTGAGGAATGCCAGGCTTTCATGACCATTTTCAAAACCTCACTGTGAGCTGATTATTATGTGTACAGCATTGAACTTTTCCTCAAACAATGACATTGAAACATACTCAACAAATCCCCCCCCCAAAATGTTGTGATACCATTAGCGTCTGAAATGTTATGCGTTTGTGAATATGTGGCAAAATCGAGAAAATAAACTTTTACATAGCATTTAGGTGCTTAGTACATTCAGTCGATATGCATGCCTTTGTATCTTTGTCTCTGCAAGAAATAGATATTGTATCAAATGACATGTTGAAGAGTCACTATGAAAAGATATCTGACAATTTTTATATAACTGGAAAACCATTCAAGTCATCAGTCCACCCATCCAGAGCATCAACATCAGGGTGTGTGGTTGCAGGACGGGGCATGGCCACTGGGGGAGGGGTGCCGAGACTATTTGAAGTTTGATGTAAAGTCCTAGGAGGGGCTATGTCAGCTGTAATCCTATCATTTGGGGTCTAAATCTATGTTGTGTCATCTTCGACATTTGCGTGATGGGCCTGAACTGGGACTTTGAAGCGTCGGATCATTGGTCTGTCCATGGGGAACACCTCTGATTCTAGATCTAGGCCTAGATCTAGATCACAATTCTCATCTTCACTTGCGTCCGCACCTTTCCTATTTCCTTTCCTATACTCATCAACTTTGTATGATTGTTCATCATTCATCGCTATCATCTTCAAAAAGATCTTAATTTGACCCTTTATTGACGAATAGGTCCGTCAATTCAAATGTTCCGACCTTGTTGAGACGCAGTTGCCATTGTAACTGAGCGTTAGTTTTTAGTTCGTTTCGGGTGGGTTAAAAAAAATCAGATTTTTAAGTAACTTGTTTAAGGGAAGTTACTGCAACAATGCGGAATCGAAACTAAACTGGCTTATGTCGCATACTTCCGACTGCCAAGCCCGAAACATGTCGGGGAATGTTTGAAAAATAGTAGTAAAATTGCACCCGACGGGTTTCAGGTTTGGTAGGTAGCTGCCTACGCGGATCATGCATGGCAGTGAGTGACTTAGATTCTTAACTGTTGTTGTCATCGCTCAGTTTGGAAATGAAAGTCTGTATGTTCTTGAAAATGTGTTTTTTATATTATTTTTAACAGCTGGATTGTTGGAGCAACCATTGCAAGTTCAAGGTAAAAGAGAAACAAAGAAAGTGGAAAGACTGTCTGCATCGTTAGTTCCTAATCGTCCGGAGAAAAAGAAAATTCAAGTAGAGGAGGGTGCTGGTGTGAAGCTAGGAGATATTCCTTACAGTAAGTCTTTGTGGCATGTTTTTATTTCGTGTAGCTTGGACTTTGCTCTGAGTGCTGTATTATTTTTTTTTCTACTGAAAGTAAAGTAAAATGCTTTTCAACAGCCATTTTGTTGTGCAACAACTTAAGAGTTACAGTGGAACCTGCCCAGACGGCCACCTGCTGTATAAGACAACCACCTGTACAAACTGCCGCTGTCCATTCCTCCCTTGCGTTCATTCTATATAATGTCACTGCTTAAAACTATAACTTGTCAAACTCAGCTATGGCCACTCTTATTTTTGTCAACCAACTGCCCCCCCCCCCCCCCAAAAAAAATAAAAAAATTCTGCCCAAAATGGCCACACAAATATATTTCTAAAATGTAGTACGAAATTGATACCTAGGTTTAATCTTTCAAAACCTGGACGCAGGTTCGGTGAAATATAGTGTTTCATAGAGATGTACTTCAGAAGATCATCACAATTTTTGTCCAGATGGAATATTATTGCAATTTTAAATCTTTATTGATATAATTATAATGCAGAATCTCTGGAATACCCAAAAGAATACTTATCCTAAGTGTAAAGTAATTGGAGTATTATTAATTACTTGCCATACCAGACCACACAGATTTTTATCAGTGCCAAATAAAAGCTCAAGTGATGTACTTTAAAAAATTACAGTCATAGTGAAATTAGCAGGGCATGGAAATCTTCTCGTTATGTTTCCATTTTGCAATGTACATGTTTGAAATACAAAGGAAATAAAATATATATGTATAAGTAAAAATGTGAGGACTGAAAATGTGTTCGCTGTGTGCGAGCTTTAGTTTGTGTGTGTGTTCGCTTTGTGTGCCATAGACTAGTTTTAAGAAATGTTAGTTCTGTTTCCCACAGAATATTGTTTACCTCAGATGCTGTAGATAGGTTTAGCCGTAGAAAGTTGAATACAGGTGTTTAGTCAAGGTAACATCTTCTTGTCTTCTGATTCTTTGTAATGGTTTTTTAAAGTGATTTTGGTATGTAGATACTCATTTCACCCGAATTACAGATGTGTCGAATACATTTATCAATCTGTTTGTTTGAGTTATCCTTGCCCGACTATTTCTAGCTCATTGTTTATAAATTTCAACCAACCCATTTTATTGTAGCATTCAATATTACTTTCAATAAAATTACTCTCTGCTAGGACACTTCAGTAACCCACATTCAGCACTTTTCAAGGATCCCGAGCGACTGTTGAGTTCCTGCGTGCTGCCGGCATCGCTGACCGTTTATGACGCCACAGCGCCAGTAGAGAGAGAGAGAGAGAGAGAGAGTAAAATTACTCTCCTTAGATTTTCATTATCAAATTTAAATGCTATTGTATGTAAAATATAATTATGCTTCATGTGTCAAACATTCATGATTTTTTATTTTTATCTTGTTGTCTTTTACTTCCAGTTGAAAACAGCCTGAATAAGACGAAAGCAATCGATTTGAAACCCCTACATCGTATCCTATTTTTCCGTCCGGGAAGCAACATGGAAATAAAGAAGAACCTCAGACAGTTTTCTGGAGTGGCTCAAGGAAAAGACAGCAAGGACCATGCTAGACGGATGGCAGCTTTGAACAAGTAATTCTACGCAGAAAGTTGATGGCAAACTCGGTTGCCTGACTTCTTAATCCCTGCAAACCTTTTTGTAATGCAATAGTTATGTCAGGTAGAGAAGATACATTGATGAAATAATGTAGAATGGTAGAAATGGAAAAAAAGAATTTGCTTTAAAAATATTTTCAATAAGAATTTTAGCCTGGATTGAGGGATGAAATTTGAAAGTGTGTTGAATTGTGACCGTCTTTTGCAGCCGTTTTGAAAGGCACTCTGAATATACAGTCACATAGCTTATTTGTCCTTAATATTTAATTTGTATGTCTGAGGAAATGTTGTTACAAAATGCGGCTTTGTTATATAAAGCTCATAAATAGCCAAGGCAGTACAAAGCTTGAAATTTGCAAATGGTTTAGAACTACTGATGTAGCAATGCCAATGGCCCTCTGCGCTTTACGCTGGAACTCGGGTAATTTTTGGGCAGCCTAGGATCAGAGGTGACTTTTCTATGTACAGTTACGGGAAAACTCGTGGACAAAAATGAATGAAACTCGGCAGCCAGTCGGAGGAAAGATCAAACTAACGACATACGAGCATACAATGCTGAATGATTTCTAAAACCGCAGAATTTGCCGTGTTTGTGCGATTTTCTTATGTGTTTTGAAAACTAAGTGGAGTTGAGTATTGGTCGCCGACCAGACAGGTACGCCACATGTCTTCTTTATTGCTGTAAAATTTCAGATCTCTGTGTGTGGTACCTTTTGCGTACCAACTTAAAAGGACCACCTATCCATTGATAAAACACTGGAGTTCGAGACTAGATCATGGACTCAACACGCTAGTTGTTGGCACGTGAGAGGCGCATGATCGCTAGGTGACATGTGATTGGCTGCCTGTAACTAAATAGATCACTAATGACTTCATTGCAAGTTTTCCTGATACGGCTTTACTAAGTTGTAGAAAGGTGGTTGGTCGTGGTTTAAACGATGTCGCGCAATAAAAATTTTTTTCCCTCAAATATTAGTCTTAAAGATAAAAAGTAATAAAAACATCGAAAAAGTGATAGCAAAACTAGATTCTGCACTAAAAATCACAAAAAGATACCAAGTTTCATTACTTGTACTCCAATTCATTACTGACTTATGAACAGTTTTCCCTCAAAACACATCAAGAAAGGTCCCACTTTTTGGCAATATTTTCCTTTGTGAAAGTCCCCCAAAATTTTGCAATAAAAAATCCCAATAACCTTTTTATTTTATGGTGGGTTTTTTTAATTGAAAAACCAGTTCTTAGAATTTACTCTTCTTTAATTTAAGCTTATTTTTAAGCAATGTGGATACAAAATTAAATTTTTCATAGTCATTGCTAACTTCAGTGGAGTCTGCTTAAAGTGAACTCTTTGGGACCAGAAGAAAGTGTTCACTTTATCCGAGGTTCAGTTTAACCAGTTTGGTAGGGTGGAGGCCTAGAAACAGTTGCTACGTGCAGGGTCTAGGGTGAATTTAGGTGTGGGGGGGGGGGGGGGGGGGTAACACAGTGGGCGAGCCTAGACTAGAGGTCTTTCTTTCTGATTGCCGTCGTCAACGCCTAGCTGGGATTGTCTGGTGCTTGAGTGACCAAAGTTGAGTCGATAGCGCCGTAAAACACCTACTCAATCAAAAGTTTTAAAAAAAAATGGGATTGTCTGTTCTTGCCCGATTGTCTGTTTTTGCCCGAGGCAAAGAATTTTATTTTCACAGCATGGTGACAGTGACACGGTCAGTCAGTTCTTCGCTTTCACTCATACTGGGCATTCGCTTTATCCGATTTTCCCATGAAACTGGTTCATTTTATCCACTTTTTTTAACTTAAACTAATAGCATTTCAATTGGAGACACAGAATATTGTTCACTTTAACCGGTTGTTCAAATACAGCGTGTTCACTTAAGGCGGACTCCACTGTAATGTAAAACTAGGAAGGCTAGCCTAGCCAGCAGGTATTAAGTGCCACAGGCCTGTAAAAACAGTTATCTTGATTATGAACTGGTTCCTTTAAATTTTACATCTTTTGTGTGAAATGGGCATGCTTACGAGCTTTTCCAAACACTATTTTTAGGCAGACTCTATTCTCTTCTTTTTTTCCCCTCAAAAGAAGAGTGCATTTTTGAGCATCTATTTTTCTTTGTTATTCCTTTGGCAAGAGAGTTCAGTCTGCACAATAAGCATTTTTGGCAGATTTTGTATGGTTAGAATTCTGTTTTAAGGCTTTTCTTTTGTAATCTCTTTCAGAATGGTGTCGGCACAGCTGAAGGCAATGTGCTTGGTTTTGGGTCTGGAACGAAATGGAACGAAACAAGATATCTTGGATAGGTTAGAAGAATTCATATTAAAGCCATATGACAGAGGAGTTAAAGTCCCCCAGCCGAAGACGAAAAGTAAGTGATTTATACAGCTGTTGAATGTTCAGTAAATGTTGAAACTCTCTATTGTTGACTTGTGAGAGGAGAAAGAGAAAGTCTTCTTATATCAGCTAATCCCCTTATGATTTGCATTGTAGTAAACTGACATGAATTGAGGTGTTCACTATTGTGTTTATTTTGTCAGTAAGATGCACCGAAAGTTTTGTTTATGAATGCATGTAGATGTTTCTTCTCTTGAGCCACTCATTAGTGGCGAAATGTTGTTAATTTTAGTTTATTTCTTTGGAATTATGTACACTATTGGAACTTGTAAACTGGGAAAAAAGGCGATGATACAATTGAAGTGCCTCAAAGTGTACTGGATTAAGCTTTGAGATCCACATTTTATTCTTTGTGTGGGTTTGCCGTACTAGTAAGTTGAGGGGGTTGTGAGTTCAGTATTTGACTCTTAGCCAGAAAAGTGCCCAAAGAGGTTTGGGTGCCTGACCAGCTGTGTATTGTTCTTAGTAAATGTCTGTGTTGGTTCACGTTTGACCATGCGATGATAATTCTATGTCTCTGACAGAACGGTCCAGGTCAAAAACGCCTTCTTCCAAGAAAGCAAAGAAAGTCAAGACAAAGGGTGTGAAGAAGAAGAAAAAGACAAAGGAACAGGTTGATGATGATGATGAGGAGGATGAGGATGATGAAAAAGACAATGATGAAGAGGAGGAAGAAGAAGATGAGCCAGAAGAGGAGGAGGAAGAAGAGGAATCAGAAGAGGAAGAAGAGGAAAGTGAAGAAGAGGTAAGCTGTCTTTATAGAAAGGATGCTTGCTGTGGGACGTCGTTTCATCTCTATGCTCTAAGTAGGGGCAACACTGCCAGATTTTGGCGACATTATATTATATGTCAGTTCCTGGTGTCTTTCGTTGTCGTTATATAAAGTTTCAGCTGTAATGGTTTTGTAAGATAATACTTTTTGTCAGTCTCAGTAATTGTGTAATGATAGATAGTGAAGTCTTCTGTGGCAGTCTCTATGAAAGAGAAAACGGCTACTAGCTAGTCAATGCAGAAAATTTGTGAACATTTGATCATCTTAATTTAAAGAATTGAACAGAAGTTGTTTATGGCTTTGTAACTAAGCCCTGTGTTGGGGCAGAGTGATGTCAAGGTTTTAGGGGTACAGGTGATGGAGTGAAGACAATTGAGTGTTTACTTTTTTTTCATATCATTTTTTGTTCATGTGTCCAGCCTAATGCTAACACAGCGATTTTTAGGGAACTGTTTGCTTTATTTCCTTCTTAGCCTCCGAAAAAGAAGAAGAAAAAAGTGGTGGAGAAAAAGAAACCTGCCCCAAAGAAGGAAACGAAGCAGAATGGGAAGAAACAGAAGGCAGCAAAGGCAAAACCAAAACCAAAAAATCAAGGTAGGGATGGTGTAGAGAGTCTCAGGTGTAGGTGGACAAGTCGTCTTTTGCATGTGTATCATGTACTCTTTTATAAATGCTTCGTTTTTTTACGCCCTTTGTACTAAAGGGGTGACGCTCAGTAGAGTAAGGACATTTTTTCCTTTTGCTTCCTTTCTCTCCGATGTGTGTAAAGCTGTAAAATTGATTCGTCTTGAAGTATTTCAAAGACTAAGGGGAAATGCAAGTCTCGGCTTTTTGATTTTAATACCATAAGCAAACTAGAATGAATTTGTCATTTGGCCGGAGGCTGGTCTTCTTTAATATCTGGGGCGTATTTTTACAGAAATTGGTACCATCGATTCGGATAAATTGTGGATATTTATGGTAATTCTCAGCAATAAGTTATATTTGAAACCTGCCAGATTGTGCATTTCCAGCACATTGCTATTATGCCTCTAAGCATGCATTGCAGGTTGGTTTGCAAAACATTTTCACCTGTAAATTGGTCAAAATCTGGCTAATCATGATAGCAAAATATTGGTACCTATTTCCTCCTTTTTTCATTCACTCATTCATTCCGTCTAGCTTAAAATCGTTGCCACAGCTAGAAAATCTGTGCTTTGGTCAAGAAAATTGAGTTGTGACTTTAGAAAGAAAATTGCTATCCATTTAGTTCTAGAGCGTGATGAATAGTGAGGATTCTACATCGGCATCGTAGGGAGCACGGTAAAGGCTACTGTGAAAGAAGTAAATGCTAGAACTAAAACTCACATCAGGAGTAATGTTAGTGGAACACTGTGGTTGTCACATTCGACATTCAAATGTGAAGACTATTTTCAGGATTATTGTTCTCGGATTCGCCTTCTGTCAGAACTTGCTTTTTTACATTGGGGCAAAATATGTAAATTGTAATATGTGTGCGTGTCTGGAGAAAGGTATTTATTATAAGACGTATTATCTCGAACTGAGTTACAGGACAACAAAGGTCGTTCCGTTTAAAAATGATTCATGAGCATTTATTTACCGTTATTTACAATGTTTTGTGTTTATTTTACTCTGAAAATGTAGTTTTCAAGACTTTTTGACACGGACAAGTCATCTTATATAATAATGAAAATTGTATAACATTTGCTGTCAGAGCCTACATTGCAGAAGGTTTCTACATTTTATTCATAAAAACAAACCCTATCGCACTGCAAAGCAAAATTTAGGTCAGCTTATGACCTTTCTTGAATGGCAGTCTGAGAGGACATTTTAGTCTCCACCACTTTGAGGGATCGAATTTATCACATTAACTACACGAACACCAATCCCACTTGAGTTGTTGCTTCTTTTGTTAGATGTTATGATGGTAAAATGTTGGAGGTCCCTGGTTGGATTTTGAAAAAAAATTGGCAAGCCTGCATTACGAAATACAGTATAATCCATTTATATTGACGTCCAATTTATCGATATTTTGACATATCGACGTGGGTGGTTGGGGGGTGCTCTGGTGTGGTTTGCTCCTTCTTTCCTATAAAACATCTATCATCCTTATCTCTCCTCCTCCTTTTTTGTATATGTTACTCTCTTGTGACACATCTATTTTTCGGCACTTATATGACCTTATTGGGTTGCAAGTGCAGTAAAACTTACTAAAGCTAAGACATATGGACTTATTTTCCAATTACGAAATTTTTCGTTCAATATCTTCTCTGAACAATTTCTCCTACATTGACTTTTTTTCGGCCCACTCTGCTTTATCGACAATCTTCCTGGGTACCTGGCGAAGCCCACGAACATAAATGGGGGGAAAAGCCACGCTAATGGTCAACGCACTAGTTCTTCATTAAGTCCGCATACCCGTCAAGTAGCCGATATTGACACACCAGACTTTAGCAGGTCATGTGGGGCATACACAGTGTAGTGTCCATCACAGTACAGTGCCTCACAGACGTGAGCGTCTCGCGCGCTGGGCATCATCTCCCTACCCCCACTTTCGATCGCTCACTCCCCTTCCCCATCCCATTCTCAGTCTTTCGGTGGCAAGTGCCATGGTCAGCGAGTCTGTGCCTTGCCTTTCCATTTTCCCTAGCAAACGGCCATAAACAGGCCTTTAAAAAAGACAAAAGGATGCTACAACAAAGTTTACGCTTAACCCTCTTACGGCTAAGCCATTTTTACCATTACTTCCCTTCAGTGCTAGGTTTATTTTAGAAAAATGCTAATTTTCAACATGGCTATAAAAAAAGCTCATATCTTTCATATTTATCATAATTTCTAATTACAATAAGAAGGAAAAATGTGTTTTAAATAATGGACTACCCTTATGTTTGGTGAGATGTGGTTTTTAATGATGTTATTGTTGGTATCAAAATCTTTATCATTTTTAGTCCAGCCGGCTTGGAGATCAGCAGGAATATTGACGTCCGCTTTGGGGCTTAAAACCTCGCTAGATCTAGATCTATGACACGATATCCCCATCATTCACACGTAGATCTAAATCTTTTATTCGAGGACCTAATCCTTCTAATTCTTTGTCACTGTGGTCTGATTCCAGAAAAATGTTGGGTAAATCTGTGTCTAAATCGGCTGACGAATCCAACATTTTGAAAACTAAACAATATCCCAGAAAATTGCCGATGAAAAACTCCAAACCGATTCCCGACTGCGAAATGCGCGGCCAGCGGCACTAATAAACATTGCACTGGTGGACTGTAGTCACCAGCAGTTTAAAAGATGGCTATTCTCATGTCAGGGGTATAGTTTCCACCTCATGTCAGATCACGACCGGTGGTCTCGATGCGCGCGGAAGGGAGGTATGAGTCATGGTCGTGATGCGCACGCAGAGGGTTAAAAAAGTAGTTGTCTTTTTACCGCTGACCTCCCCTTGTTTTTTCCTCTTTTGCTTGATATTTTTTGTTATCGACATTTTTAAATACTGACATCATTCCCAAAGCATGTCGTTATAAGTGGATGATACTGTTATTTTATCCCCATCCTTTTGTTTTTCAGACTCGGCTTGCCACTCTACATCAAGTAGCTATAGTTTCTTAGACTGCCAAAATTTGAATTGAACAGACTCTCTTGTTTTTCTTTTTCAGAAATGTCTGATCTGTCGGATTCTGAGGACGATGAACCAATTGCCAATATGAAGAAACCATCAGCTCCAGATGTACGTGACTAGAACTACTGTTATCATTTAGTAACAATTGGTACCTCTTTCCGTCCTTCTTTCAGTTGGTATTTTTTGCTAGCAGTTACTTGAGAGTACTTCTAAGAGGTTTGTAATAATAAAATAATAATTGCATTTATATAGCGCATATCCATGCTCAAGAGCTTTCTCTATGCGCTTTACAACTATTATTACCCCAGCAGACCCTCTGAGAACACTCAGAAACATACTCGGCTTCCGCGGAAGCATACAGTGCAAGCTGCGGATTTCACGCGCTCAAACTTGTGCCAGATGATATGTGTGTGTGCCCAAAGAAAGGTACCAAAAGTCGGATTTTCAGTTAAAGGTTGTACCTTGTAGGAAATTCAATACTGAGCACAGTGGTTTTTAATTTTTGAGATATTTCAAGTAGTTTTTGAGATTTGGCACATTTTGTGAGGTAGGGTATAAAGATCTGATTTTGAGAAAATTAGCTTTTACAGTTATGACACATACAAACTAAAAAAAACCCCGATGATTCTTTTGTTTCTAATGTATTTATTTATGGGAAAATTCATTTCCAATTTTGGTATTCAGTTGACATCAATATCGGGATTAAAATTCAATGGTAAAACATAGCGGGGAAGAGAAAGCATGCTTGGTACCTTTCTCTGGGCACACTCACCTATTGGTATTGTTTTCTTTCTTTTTTTGGTTTTGTTTTCGTAAAAAGAATTGTGTTGTTACTCTGGTGTGTAATCAGTTTTACGGTGAACTCGTCAAAATTATATGGATGTTTCCTTTAAAAAGTCAATTATGTAAAACTCTCTGCTTTGTTTTTTTTCTGTTTGTTTTTTGTTTTTTGTCTTGTCTTTCATTTACTGGAGAAAGGGATGCCAAGATACGAATTTGAACTCTGATGATTATATTACCTTGTTTAACTGCAGAAGTGTATACTAGTAATAGATAATAACTGGGAGACTGAGAAAGGGATTTGAGGAAAGACCGATACTGATGGGGTCTAGGAAGACAGAATAGAAGTTTATGGAGATCAATCACCTTAGTGAGATTGACCCTGGTCTTTTAAATTGATGAAACAAATGTTAAAATTACTCGCTTAGTACTGACATGAATAAGTGTTAATGAAATTTTATACGTTTTCGTTTTTAAACAGATGAACAATAAAAGTTCCTTACACACGTTACCAAATCCTACTTACGTACCCACAAAATGTCAAACCTTTCCTCTTTG